AGACCGCAGTGCTCTATTCAAAACGAATACCCAACCAAGGAGGGCTGGGAATCTATGTACCAACGAATGTGGTTTGCAAAGGGTGTAGTCTGCAACCGGTATCACGAGTGGCACCCTGGGAAGCGGACGAGGACATCGACAGAGCTCTCCGCCGCGCCCCGAGGAGCCTCGACGAGGACACTGTCGTGCTCCCCAGGCCCCAACGGTGCCGATCGCAAACCACACCCCGGTGTAACCATACCCTTTGTAGTCGCCGAGCGATGCCCAACACCAGATGTCGTCCGGAACCATCAGCGGCCGCGGCTGGGCTGCGACTTCCTGTCTCACGTGGATAACGTCCGCGGCGACAACGACAGCGAGCACTGCTCACAACGGACAAGAGCTGCGGTCGGTCTTCGTCCACGCTCTTTCCGTGCCCGTCCCGATCGTACCCGATGCATGTAGATCCCCGCCCGGGAGCAGACGGGCCGCCCCTCGAAGCGAGAGCCACAGCAGGCGGCGACATCCACACCCTACCCCCACCAACCACCGATTCTGCGGGGATGGACAAACCCCCCTTTAGCAAAACGTGGTTTAGTGAAAACGACCTGAGGCCCCATCCTGGCGGGCGCAAGCCTGGAAAATGACAGCCACGGCGCTCCCTCGAGAACCGAAAACGGACAATTCACTAATCGACGTGTCACTGTTGGGGGTTCTGTCCACCCCCGAATTCTCCTGGATCGAGGGGAGGCGGGGGAGGGTTCGGATCTCGCAACGGGTTCGACGAACTCCGAACCCTACCCCCGCCGCCCATCGAATTGCCCGAATTGCCTGCATCGTTGATCGGCGAGGGTGCTGCAGCGCCCCCTGGTGGTTTCCGGGTCATAACTCAACTCTCTGGCGGCCGTTCGGGACGATCCGGGCACCCCCGGAACGCTCTCGGCGAGGCGAAGCCGCCGGAACGAGAACAACCGAAACCGCCCGAAAACCTCGAAGGCCTGAATCGTTGATCGGCGAGGGTAGAGCTCGGATTCCGCCGCCGAGGCTGCCTCGGTGGCGGGCCGGAGCTCAGCCTGCTGCTCGAGGCACCGCAGGCGGCCGAGAGACGGCCGGCCCCCCGCCTGCGCCCGGGCGCCTGCCTGCCATCCGGCGGCGGGGCCGCTCGCCACAGCAAGCCCCCGGTGGAGGATCCAGCCGCCACCGTGCGTGCACGGAGTGGGCGCGTCAGAATTAGGAGAACGAAAAATTGCATAAACATAAAACTCAGAGGTCCGAGCGGATTTCTCGGATCCGCGCTGGAGCCCCCTGGCGGCGCTTCCAGCGCCGCCCCTGGCGCGCTCCGCGCGCCAGGAAGGGGGAGCCAGCGCGGATCCGAAAAATCGCGCGGGGCTCCGAGTCTGCATGTTTGTATAATTTGTCGCTCCCCCATTTTAGTTCCCAACCCTCCTGTGGTGTTGGGCCCGCGTTTTGAAGAGATAGCGCCCCGCGTTTTCCTTCCTCCTCATTTTCCTCCTCCTCCTCCTCCTCTTCCTCCTCCTCCTCATCATCATCACCTCCTCCCATCCTTGCCTCCATCCGCATGTAAACAACAAGACACAACCCTCACACATTTCGTGGCGCTACAGGGAGCTCCACCGAAGGCACAACTGGCAGCGCGCGCGTGGCACCGCCGAACCCAATCCGGCATGCCTCTCACACGCATCGTTGCCGAATGGGGAGCTACACCGAATGTCTCAGTGGCACCGCCCGCATGACACCGCCGCGCACATTTCAGCTCACCCCTAATTTTTTCCTCAAGGTCCAATGGGAACTCCACCGAAGACGATAGTCACAACGGCGGTGCCGTTGTGACGGTTGTGCCTTCGCCAAGATAATGATTTTTAAGGCCGACCCCACCCCCTGGTCGCGCGCATCGTTCTGAAATCGACCCCTCTCAGGAGTTGCTCTCTGGCGGCCAGGATGGCCTCCAAGACACTGCCCAAACTTACCAAAAAACAAGCAAGCGGCTCCCAAGACGCGCCAAGAAAGCTCCAAGAGGCCCTCCAAAGAGCCAGAGGAAACTAACAAACAATTATGCCCCATCGGTGTTGGAAGATTTTGAAATTATCGCCTGCTTGTGTTTGCGACCACACAGAATGGGCCGAGATGCTTCAAAGTAGCCCCAAGACGGCCCACGAGGTCCCCATGAGGGCCCCGAGTCGGCCCAAGAGGCTCCCAACAGGCCCCCAAGAGGCCCCCAAACGGCCCACACAAGGCCACAGGCTCTGAGGGGCCCCAAAAGGCCACGGGAGATATCCCAAGAGACTCCGAGAGGCACCACAGGACCCTCTGGCCCACGGAGGCCCCCCGAGCTCTCCAAATTCGGCCGCGTTCCTCCGATAAGGACAGCTGCCCCCGGGCATTGTCTTGGATGGGCTGGTGGGGATACTTTTGCTTAGCGGGCGCGCAGAACAAGTCGAACGCCGAGCGTGCTACGGCGGGCCGCGCCGGTAGCAAAGGGAAAAGCAGCGAGGGCAACGGCGCGCGAGCCGCGGTGCAGGCCAGACGAGCGAGCCGAAGAGCGCGAAGAAGACGAAGACCACGCAATCACGGCGAGCACGGGGGCCGGGAAGTGCAGGAAGCACGCGGGGAAGACGAAGCAGACGGAGCGGGGGAGGGGCGCACAAGGAGCACGCCGAATGCCAGTGGTGGACGCAGCCACAATGGCGCGAGAAGGCGACCAGGTGGCAGAAGAAGAACACCGTGAAGTAGTACCCCGTGAAGTAGGCAGACGACTCGAGAAGTGGACTACCAGGAACAGGCGACCGTGCCGGCCAGCAGCGCCGCCCAGTAGCCAAGACCGAGCATTTCGAAGGGCCGCCCTTGCCGCGCCGATAAAACTACATATGGCCGCAAACCGACGCGAAGAGCCCCGAAAGCGCGAAACAGAAGATGAAGCTGGTCGGCGCGAGCTGACTTGCAAGCGAAGACGCCCGCAAGTGAAACCCAGGGTGCCCCGAGCCAGGGGGGGGCCTTGTCGTGCAGGTAGGACATCAACGGGCCGTAGGTTGACACCTTGCGACAGACGCGCGCGGGCCCGAGGGCAAAGACGGGAAACGGGCCGAGCGAGTGAAGACGACCACAGGTGAGAGCGCAGCGCGCGCCCGGAGCCAAGGAGAGACCTTGTCGAACAAGTAGGACTTCAAAAGGCCGACGGCTGACACCTTGACTACATGCGCGCGAACCCGAAGGCAAGGGAGGCGGCGCGAGGAACCGCGCGAAGGCGCCGCCCATCGGTTAGCCCGAGGGCGGAGCGACGCGGCCCCAGGGCCATGCGAGGCCCAGGGGCCGCGTCGCTCTGGGCGCAGCCGACCGCTGGCAGGGGTGGCCCCAGGGCGTCAGACAACCAACGTGAACCCTTGCGGCCATCACGAGGTGGGCGGACGGGAGCGAAGCCCCGGGGGAGCTGGCGCCACGCCGGCAGGACCAATCCGAACGAGGTTCCTAGGAGCAGCTGATCGCCGCAAGCACTCCATGGACCTCGGCAGAGGAATAACCGCTGCACGCAGCTGTTCGCTGCAAGGTCTCGACTAGCCACGGCGGAGGAATACCCGCGGTAAGCCGCTGATTGCTGCAAGCGCCCGCAGTGCCTCCGAAGAGGAAAGCACAGGGAAGCGCAAAACGCGTCGACAGAGAAGAAGGCGTCGCCAGAGGGATACCCGCGGCAGCGCGAACGCGGGGTGCATCAGAGAGGGGAGGGGGGGGGGGGGGGGGGAGAGGAAGGCAGCTGATCGCTGCAAGCGCAGGAAGGGGCGCCGGACGTGGTTACCACCGTTGTCGCTTGTCGATAGTTGGTCCGTCCCAGCAATGGCTGCGTTTGCCCTGCTCGCCGCTCCGCGTTGAGGCGGCGTCGCGGTCTAGGGGCGAGCCCGGGCCGACTTGCCATGCAAGCTATCCAACTGCGCCAGATCCTGTCGAAAGTGGATACGAGCCCGGATTGCAAACTTCTGATAAAGACAGGGTTGCTCTCAGTCGCACCCTGTGCCTCGACGAGGTGCGCCTGCGCCTCGCACGTCTGGTCGCCGTCGCGAGCGCGGCAGACGGTCGGCGCAAGGGGTTTGGCAGCGGCGTCGCGCCAGACTCCTCGCGCCCACGTGCCAGCGGCTGCGCTGCCGGGAGTCGCGCGCGCGGCGTGGCCCTTTCTCTGGGTTCCTAGTTTCACGCCCTATAGCTTGCCCAGCTCGATCCGCATGCGCGTCCGTCGTCGCCCCGGCTGGAGACGCCTGCTGCCATTTGGACTCTGCGCTCGGCCTGCGTGCCGCTCAGCATTGTCGTCGGGGCTCCATCCTTGGACGCGCCCCTTCCCGCGTCCATCTGCGCGCGCCTCAGGTCTCCTGCGCTGGGTAACTGCCGCCACTTGCTTGTCTGGCCCGTGAGTCGGGGGGGCCAACGGCTTGCGTGTGTCAGCCGCGTCGTGATCTCGTCGCTCGTCCAGCGTCCCACCTCGGCCCCGGGGGGGCGGCGCCGTCGCTGCTGGCCGGCGCGGCGTCGCGGAGAGTCGCAGCGCGAGCGGGGGACATGGAGCTGGCCTCCTCGGCGGCAAGCGGAGAGGTCGACAGCTGAGAGCTCCAGGCTCGTCTGTGGCGCCTCTGGTTCAGGCCCCCACCCCCAGCCAGGGTCGGTGTCTGGGGCCTGGCCAGACGCTCCGTCTTCCCCGGAGCGCTGGGGGGGTGGGAGACCCCCGCGGTCGCCAGTCGCTGCGCCCGCGGTCTCCTCTTTTCCTGCTCCGGCCTATGCGCTGGGCGCGGGCTGGGTAGCCTGCGCAGGCGTGGCCCCGTCTGGCGGTGCAGCCGCTGGAGGTGCGTCGTTTCTGCCTATTTCCGATCTGACAGGACGTCGCCAATTGGCAGGTCAGCCTCGCGGCTTGCCGGCCAGCCGACGCGGGTGCGGAGATTGTGATGGGCGGGCTCGATGCCCTTAGGCGGCGCGCCCCTCCTGGCGCGGAGCTTCCAGGCCGCCCCAGGCAGCGCCGGGCGGGGCTCCGTCGTCGGTGGGCGTGCCGGCGCACAGCGAAACGATGTAGGTACAGGCCAATCTGCGCCCAAAGGCGCCGTCGCTCAAATCGTCCGGTTCAGGGCCCTCACGGGAGGAAAGAGCGATCCAGGCGTCGTCGCAGGCTGGGTCCAGACAGCGAACGTGCCGTGCCTGAGTCAGGGGGGAGGCTGTCTCCGCCCCGACTTGGTCGCTTGCTGCTGCGAGGTAGGCGTCGACCTCGCGGTGACTCAGCGGGGGGCGCGCAGGCGGCGAAAACGATGGGGGGATGCTGAGAATGTGATCGCACCGACTGGTGTCCAACTGGTCGGGGCAGAGAAGCCAGGGCGGCGTCGCGTCGCCCCCCATGCCGAAGCCCCGCGGATGACCAAACTCGTCGCGTAAGCTGTTGTCCGCGATGGGTCTCGGCCCGGGGGCCCTCTTCGTTGGAGCGGGAGGGCGCGTCCGCGCCGAGTGCCTGTCCAGGGCCACGTTGGAGGCGCTGGGCTCGATGTCCCAAATATGCACCAGGCAGATGCGGCACTGCCAGTGCTCGTTCCAGGAGGCGCCGGCCCAGCGCTCCACCCAGGTCTCACATTCGGAGAGGCCGCATCGGTCATCGGTCGCATCCCAGTCGGCGTTGGGCTTCCAGATGAAGGGGCCCGGCGCGGGCTGGCTTGGTTTCCACGTGTATTTGACAGGTTCCCCGACGCAGCTGCCACACGTGGCGGAATAGGACCCAGACTTCATGGCGCCGGTGCCGGACCGGTTGTCGATTGGACGCTCCCTGGGAATAGCGCTGCCGATCTGCCCTGGGCCGTCGCTGCTGGTGGCCGTCAGGAGCAGCTGTGACAGCGTGTTGTCGCTGTCTCGTTTGGCCACGCGAGATGGAACTGTCGGCATCGGGGGGGGGGGGGGGGGGGTAGGGATGCCGTTGCTGACTTTGACCTCGTTCTCTGCCTTGCGGTCCTTCTGGTTGGAGGCGAGCCTCTCGGCCATGCTCTTCCCCAGGGGTGCCTCGAGGACGCCGTTGTCCTCGAGGTGGCGTTGCCAGCAGCATGGACAGAGCCAGCGGCAGTTGAGGCCCTCGTTGTATGCGAGTTCCCGATCATGCACCAGGTATTTGCGGGCCAGGTCGTCCTCCCGCGCGCCCTCGTGGAGAACCCGATGCCCGCGCTTGCAGGTGTCGCAGAAGGCCCGAAAGCCCCTCTGCTCCCTGAGAAAACGCGCGCCCCCCGATGTCAAGGCTGGGCGGATGAGCTGCACGCTGGGGGCGGCGCTGATGAGCGCAGGTGCGTTGAGATTTGTCTTATTGATTGCCGTGCCTCGTCCGACGCTGCAAAGAAGGTCGCTGTCTACTTCCCCGAGCTACGCCTCACTGCCTATGAGCGCAGCGCGGAGTGCACAGACAGCACAGACTGTTGATATTAAGCAGGCGAGGCGAGATGGCCCGAGCAACTCTTCAATAACCAGAAGTGCCGATCGCAGGTGGAACTTGCTGTGCAGTGTCTCCGCCCAGGTCTGAGGGCATCAAGCGCCTGGCAGCTGGATGGCGGCGGCTCGCGCGGCAGGCGATGTGCCTCAGTGCGTCTTCGAAACGGCCATGGAGGCGCATGAAGTCGCCCTTGGACAGTCTCCAGGTTTCCCCAAAGATCTCGCGGAAGTCGACTTCCTTGGATGCGAATGCGGCGCCCGTGGCGCTGAGAGGCTTGCAGATTCCGAGGGCGGCCTCAATCGCGTCGCCTGTTCCCTCCTGGTCTGAGTGTGAGTTTCACGCGGATGTGCGTGACCCGCGCCTGTGCCACCGATACAGGTTCGGCGCCTTTCCTGGTCCAGCCGCTGAGCAAGGGGTTGGGCCCAGCTCGCCCGTGGAAAAATGCCTCGGGGCCGCCCGTCCCCGGTCGTGCACGGTGTCTGCTGCGTTGCACGGTGGGGCGCTTCCCTGCGCAGGGGGGCTGCTTGGGCGTGTCGGGCGGCGTGCGTTTTTTCATGGGTAGGACGGCGCCGCCACCTAAAACCGCAGCTTGGGCGGTCATGTAGGTCCGCTGTCTGCGCCGCTGCGTCGTCGTCGCCCCAATTTGGTCCAAGGCCGCAGGCCCGCATCAACGCAGCCCACAGCATGATGAAGTCCAGATTGCCAGCATCAGTTCCCAGGGTGACGTCGTATTGGGAGCCTGTGTGACTTTGCATTTTGCGATCGCATAGGCATGAGTCTGCTGGTTGGTTGGCCGAGCCGAACGCGCGCAAGCGAAATCCGCTCACCAGGTGCAGGAGAGGGACGAAAGCGAGCGCCTCCAGAAGGACACGGAGCGCGACGTGCAGCCGTTGGGCAAGCTTGCCCCGAAAGAAACCCTTGTCGAGCGGGGGGTCGGCGTGGCATGCGAAACCTTACGCCTCGCTTTCCCTGGCCCTGGCCACGGCACGGTCAACGTCGGAAGCGCTGCTGGTCGGCTGCGCGGGCGGAACCAGCTGTGCACGTCATCGATGCAAGTCCATCAATTGTCGACGTCCAGCCGCTGTCGAACACCCGAGACGCTGGTTGTCGGCAAATCGTGCCCAGAGGTTGGCGCCTCTACTCTGCAGTCCAAGTGCTGAGCATAGATTCGCTGGCTGTGCTAAACATCCTTACACCGCCGATCAGGGCGACAAAGCGCTCGGCCCTGGTGACGGCGCCGTCGGCACGGTTGCGGTTGTCCGTGAAACCCCCGTGGCGCTTGTAGTTGGACCAGGTAGCGAGGGAAATCGCTACGTCAACCTCGCCACCCAAACTAGAAACGATGGTAGAGAGGGAAAGCTCACCGGTGATGAGTCAGTCGGCGAACTCATCTGCTAGGCCGTTGAACTTAAGCCCCAGGCCGTTGTCGTCCATAGAGTGGTCGGGAAAGACGCACCTAGCGGGTCTTGCTGGCGGGGATACGCGAGGCGTTGAGAATTATGCGATGATGCACAGACGCGATGATGCACGGACGCGGTGGCGGGGTGCACCGCGGGCTGCTGGGCGCGCGTTCCATTTGGGGGTGGCGACGTTCTGAAAATACTTGCCAATTAAACAGTCGATCTGTTTGGAGCGCTTCCAGGCTCAAACAAAATCTTCCGTGACATTTCAACCGTTGGCGCAGAGCGCCAAGCGTTCATGTTCATGCCGATGTTTTTCTGTCGAGACAACGCTCTAAACGCATTGACCAATCAAGGCGTTGTCTTGTTTGGAGCGCTGTCAAGCCCAAGCTAAGACCTTCTTTGAATTCCCGTCGCAATCCCATGAGAAAACCCACAATCCAGCTCGAAAAATGCGTGGTGTGTGGGGGGGGGGGGGGGCCGAAGTGAGGAGGCCCAGAAGCAGTGGAGTTTTTGATTTCAGCAGATACACCGAACCAACACGCCCATATGTATTATCCCCAACGCAAAGACGGGCGCCTCAGTGCGGCCACGGCATCACTGCGACATCAGGGTTAGGGGTTCTTTTGTTCTCGATGATGCCCCCCCCCCCCCCCCGATGGATCTCGAGCGGGCGCGGAGGCGAGCGGCGCGGGCGACTGGGCGAGCGACGAGCGGGGGGCGCGGCGGGCAAGCGAGCGGAAGGGCGAGCCGAGGGCTCTGGCAGGCGCGCGGGCGGGGCGGGCGGGCGCGCGCGCGGGCGGGCGAGCGTCGAGCGACGCGCGTCGGCACCCCCGGCCGCGCTGTAACGCCGCGAATGTTGGAAAGAGAAAAAACGGCAAGGGGATAAACTGTTGGCGCTCCGCGCGGGTTATTTAGATCCGCGTGGGCCCCCGCCCCCGACGCGCGCGGGGCGCGCCGGGGGCGGCGCCGGAGGCGCCGCAAGGGGGCCCGGCGCGGATACAAGAAATCCGCGCGGAACGCCAAATATTGTTTTTTGGTATTGCGTTGTTCTTCTTCGAACATTGCCACGTGACGAGTAAAGCCGGATGGCGAGTTTCCGCCCCCATGCGTTGCCGCAGGACGAGAGGGGCAGTCAGGTGTCCACCCCCTTCGTTGCCGCGTGACGGCTAGAGTGAAAGCGCGGCTTCCGCCTCCTTGCGATGCCAGGTGACGAGTAGGAGTACAGCGGTGATTGTCCGCCCCCTTCGTCGCCGTGCGACGAACCAGGAGTAGGGTGGCATGCTGCCCGCCCCCCAACTTTACCATGTTACGAATAGCGTAGTAGCGCGTCTCGTCAGCCCTCGTGGCGTTGCCCCCTGGCGAACAGCATATTATATGATGCTCCGATACCGTCCCCTGAGGCACAAATTGGTGCGTCCTCGGCCCCTTCTCTGCCCCTTCAGCCTCAATCCTCACTCAATCCTGGGGGCTCTTTACAAGGGGCCAGACTCCCTGGGGCCACCCGCATCTTGCCGCATGATTTTTTCCGAGCCCAGAGGGCTCCAAGACGGGCTAGAGGGCTCCAGGGGCCTCCGAAATCGTCCAAGAAGACCTCGGCTCGCCGAGAAACCGTTCCAAACGTTTCAGAAAAGCCTCCAGACAGCTGGGGGGCGCTTTTGTACCAGGCCAGAAAACGGCACCTTCGGGCCATGTTCCGAAACCCGCGCTTCCTCCAAGCCACATGCCCTTTTTTGCGCCGTCGGTTCCCAGGGGCCAATTGCTGCTGAGGAATGCGGCATAGGCGCCCACCTGCCCCGCCAGGATACGGAGGCGCCCCCCGATGCGACGGGCGACCGCGGGGCCCGAAGCAAGCGCCATCACTTCATCAGGCGCTGAATTGACCCCCTGCTCCTCCGCGAAAGCGCGGCGACGAAGGCCCGCCACGTCGCGGCGCAGGGTCTCGACGATCTTACGCGCCCGCCAGCGGCAGCTGACCGCGTCGCAAATCTACGACGCAAGGTCAACACCAGGGTCGCGGCGCACAAAGCCGTCAGAAAACAAGCCAAAGCAACAAACATCGCACTCACGCTGTTTGCGCGCAGCGAAGCCAAGCTGCGATCCGAGCCCGGCCGCAGGGCCCTGGGCCCCCCTCCCCAAACAACGCAAGTGATCCCATGCAAAATCCAAGCTCGCAGCAATGCTTTTCTGCCGCAAGTTTCTAAGATAGAAGCTTGCATGATGCCAGGATCCGCCCCCAGACAACCCCCAGCACTGCTGCAACTTGCACCGCGGCGCCCGCCTTGACGACCTGGCCCCTCCACCGACTGCCCCGCCCAAAAGGCGCAGTGCTTTCGTGGGCAGGCGCGCGCCGTTAAGTTGAAGCAGTCTGGGTCTCGTAGGCCGCCCGCGCACACGCGCTGGCGCCGAGCGCAGAAGGACGCGCCTCAAACGCCCTCGGGCTTCCCAAGCACTGGGAACAGCAACCGGCGCAACGGCGTGGGAAACAATCCAAGTTGTTCAATCGTCTGAAAAGCGCAGGCCAAAACGACTAGGCCTGGGTCCGTCAAGCAAGCGAACCGCCGCGCATGCGCGCCGCCGAGAGATCGCGCAGAACGCCGCGAAAAAGAAAGCGACGCCGCGCGGATGCACCGAGCCCCACAGAGCAATTCCCGTCAAGAACTTCGACAGATGGCGGGGTGGATGCGGCGCGCAACAAACCTACGAGCACGTCGGCTTCCCCGGCCGGGGGGGCCCGAGAGTCCGACGCGTGCGCCTCGAGGGTCTCTTCGGTAACCGCGGGCGCCCACTCGCGCGCGAACCAGGTGAGGCGACGCATCTGGCGGACAGTATCCGTCGGGGCCCCACCTCGCCACTGGCCCGACACTTTACGTTCGTTCACATCGAGCCCCCCCCCTCGCAGCAGTGAAATCCGCCCTCCGCCCCTCCGAAGTCTCGGCGCAATTGTCGACCCGATCGGCCGCGCCAACGAGCAGCTTCGGACGCTCGACCGCGATCTACCTGGCCCCGGCGACGGCGAGGCCATGCCTAGGCGGGGGCCCATCCGTCTCGGACCTCGGAAGGTCGGGGAACGATGCTGATTCGATCGGGGGCTTTCTCTCTGGCCTGATCGACCGTCGAGCCCATCTAAGTGGCGGCGCGACCACTGGCATTGCGATGGTCCCCCATCCTCCGTCGGATCCAGATTCGCCCCTCCCAGACGCGGACGCCACCCTCGGCCTCGGGCCCGGGAGGGGCGAGGACGGGCGCCCGCGGGGGCGCGATCGGCAGATGTTATCGCGAATGGGGGCGTCCAAGCGCCGCGC